GCTAGTAAAGACACTTTTCTTTTTCCAGCTTAATGATGCAGCCTGCTCTCTCCAGGTGGCCGTGTTCAGTTAGCAACAGGTTCACACTGAACGATTTTCGTCAAACTTGACTTTGACTTTCACCAGATGTTCCTGTTCCATTGGCTCCTTCAGCTAAGTGCTGCCAGAATTGATGGTATCTCTCTGATTCAGACATTAAAGAGCTGCTTTATACCTACCCAAAAATGAAATCATTCTTGAAAGAGAGAGGGACGATGTGTCTTGTAAGTTTTTCATAGTTTACACCTGAAACACTGTGTTTTTGAGGCTGTCTGTAAATAAATAAATAGACGATCTCTGCTGACATGAAAATCATACAAGTTACTTGTATGGGTAGATCTTGCTGAGAAACTGGGGACAGCTTTTTATGAGCTGAAATTTCCTTTTCCATTTTAGGATGTATATAATTTCATGAACTCTTTCAGCTCTTATCAAAAGAGCTGTTAAGCTGGGAAGATAGCTGTATCTCCTTCTGCAGCATTTGTGATTGTGCAATGGGGTCAGAAAACTATTTGCTGAAGCGACTGCTGGGCTGCTTGCATTGCTAATTCTGTTCTGTCAGCGATGTCAATTAGTACTTCAAGAGGTTCGTATCTCAGAAGAGAGCCTTTGTGAGTCATATGGTCTTGTTTGATAGATAATTATTATAGTCTGCTGATTTCTTCATGTGATTCAAGATGAAATCATGAGGTATGAGAGAATACTGCGATTTCCTATTATATTTTCTTGTTATGTAAAATTGTGGTAATACAGCTAGCTTTCTGACCCACTAGTGAAAAATGAAAATTTCTCCCTGTATTTTTTTCTGCTGTGAACTCTTTTAGAGTCACTATATAGATATCACTAAGCATTGCCTTTCAGCAGCCCAACTTGTCCTTCCTTGAACAAAGTGTGGTGACTCCAGACTTCCATGTGATTTTGGAGGTGATGGCGTTTTTTACATTAGTTTGCTGAGGCTGGGAGAGCGTC